CCTCTCTCTCTCTCTCTCTCTCTCTCTCTCTCCGTGTGTGTGTGTGTGTGTGTGTGTGTGTGTGTGTGTGTGTGTGTGTGACAGTGTCTGTCATATACGTCCGGCACACTAGAAGCGAAAGGGCATAGTGAAAGTTTCAGGCAATCCAATGCTCCTTATTGCTAGTCTGACACTCCAAATTGCGCATATTCATCGCTCAATCCACAGGCCCCATGCTGATGATCTCTCTGTCATTCCATTACCCTCGGTTTTCACGAAATGGATGTGCTGGGAACCTCGCACGCAAACTTTTTTTTTTTTTTTTTTTTTTTTTTTAAAACTACGCTATATTCTTCTCTCAAACCTTTTCATCATCTTTCAAATTCTTTCAATTCACCTTCACTACCTACCTACCACTACTCCTAAGGCTTACACAGGGGACCCCTGCAAACATAGCTTTGTTGTCTCCCTCCAGCCATCAGAGGGGATGCATGCTGCCCCCCGCCCCAACCATGGTGGTCAAGGATGGGGTGGCGCCGCGGTCGGGGTCCGGCTAACGCAAAGACCGAGCATTTTGCCAGTAGCTGCGCCTCCCTTTTCATCGTCCCCCACCCCCAACCGAATAACAGCAGTGTCCGAGGCCAATACTCTCCCACACACCACACACAACCCACTCACACTCACACTCACACTCACACCCGTGTTGGCCAAGGACCCTGCTCTTACCGATCAGAGGTATCGCACGCACACTCATCTTCCACATTCGTCATTTCCGAAAGCTGAAAATAAAAGGCAAAAGTTATGGACCTCCCCGAGACGTCACCTTTTTACTTATTTGCCCCCCAACTGGGCAAAAACTGTCGCAGGTCCCAAAATGACTTTTTGGCAGTTCTGTTTTTTTTTTTTTTTCGACTCGAGCCTTTCTTTAGAGTCCAATTCTATATGGATGATGAAATTCGCAACGAAGATTGCGTTTTGACAGCCTCGAAAATTCTTTACCGCCATTTTTGCCAGCGTGCGTTACCAGCTCAGCCAGGGGCAAGGTCCCACTTGCACGGATTACGAGATTCTGACCGTTGATCTGTGCTATCTACGGTCAATATCTCATAAGTCGTGTACTAAGTGGGACCTAACCCCAGGATTAGTGCAAAAACGACTCGATGTCATTTTGGGCCTGCGATAACTTCCGCCCCGTTCGGCGGGGAGGTTCTACAACTTTTCCCAAAATAAAAATGTAGACGTGAAATAGGATATATCAGATCCCACTACCCTGAAAGTCATTTTTCACGCTCGATTACGAAGATAAACGGTCATATAATTCATTTTTCACGCTCGATTACGAAGATAGAACGGTCAGAAATGAACAATAGGGGCTTAGCCTAGTGGGATCTGACTTCCTCGTGAAATTTCGACGCGCGACGGTTTGGCGCCACGAATTCCGTGGCTGCTCCTTTTCTTTTTTTTTTTCTGAAAATGAACATCTTGTGAAAACCTTGGGCGAGGTCCCACTAGCAAACAGGATTGGATTGAACGCCTTGATTTGGCCGCGTTTGTGGACAAGTGCAGAAATCGAGATTGAAATCCTTTTCTGCATCTCTGCCTAAACACGCCCAGATTCACGATCTTAATCCAATCCCCGTTGCTAGTCGGACCATACTCCTCGAGTCCCATGGTGTAAGAGAACCAGGGGCATTTTTATTGGATGGCCCAGTGGCTTCATTTGCTTTCATCTTGTTTTTTAAAGCTATGTTCTTCTCTCAATTTCACCTCACACTACCTACSTACCACTACTCCTAATTGTAGGCATACGCGGAACCCCGTAGCAGCCAGAACCGTGTTCACGAGAGAACATGCAGGGGCTGCTCCCGACCTGCAGGTAGGCGATTCGTCAGTTCCACGTCGTCTTTCAAATCATTTTTTCAATTCCATTCGGCTAACCGCGAAACCTTTTTATCGGAAGGTTCCCCCTTCAGGATAAGGGCGGGGGGGGGGAGCATACAAACAGGCGATCTCACCAGAGAGGTTTAACAAGCATGCATCACATCAACTGACTCCCTCGCTTCGCAGCATAACGTTTTACGTCTGTGATGCGTTGGTAATGGTCACCACACATTCGAAATGTTCAAT